TTTGTTTGTCTGATGTTCACTGGGGCCGGATGAGAAGGGAAAAGAAATAGAAGATGAGGTCCGATCACAAGGGGCCTGGAAGGGTCTTTGGGGGACTTTGGGCTTTACTTTGAGTGGTTCAGAGCCATCAACAAGCTGTGAGCAGGGGAGGTATACTCTGGCTGCTGTTTGAGAAATGGAATGGAGGGGAAGCCCAGGAGCAGGAAGGAGGACAGGCAGGGACTGCTGATCACCAGCTGCTCGCCACCTGTCCCTTCCTACTTTGGTAATAGCAATGTGCCCCAGCTGAAATCTCTATTTCCTGGTCCTCCCCTCCAACGGAACATAGTCCGGTGACTATAATCTGCTCAAAGAACCCTAAGAAGACAATTGATTGCGCTTTTTGGAACACTGCTTAAAAACAACCTACTCTGCTGGAAGTTTTCTTTTCCTCTTTTGCTTTCCCCTGTTGCCAGCCTGGAACATACACATAATGGCCAGAGCTCCAAGGGCCATCTTGAATCATGAGATGATCCTTCAAATGGAAGCCACATGCTGGGTAGAACAGAAAGCTCCAGTAGGTCCCTGCTGGGGGCTGGAGCTGGCTCACCAACTCTGCCTTGCCTGTTTCTGGACTTGCTTCACATGAGAGACATGCACTTCCATTTTGGTTAAGCCATTGTTATTTTGAGTTCTTCAGTTACACACAACTAAACCTAAGCCCAACTGATACAGGAGGCCATCACCATAATCTGGGTGAGAGATGGTGGCTTGGACCAGCAAAAGAGGTCAGAGTCTGAATTTTTTTTTTTTTTTTTAAGCAGAGCCTATAGGATTTGCAGCTGGTTTAGATACAGAGTGAAGGAAGGAGAAAAATGAAGACGACTTCTGGGTTTTGTGCCCAAGCGACTTGATAGTGCCATGATTTAGAAATGCAGAGTGGGGTGGGGTGGTGGAATCAAGAGGCTGGGGTAGTGCCAGGTTGGCTTTGCTAGAAGCAGGAAGGTACACAGTGACACAGGAGAGGAGGAAGAGATTGTAGGGTGTGGATTGGTGGGAATTGAGGGAACTTATTTTCTAACTAAATACAAGGCCAGGTCATCAGCTGAGATTGAGAGGATAAAAGTAGTGGGTGGAAATGGGGAAGTTAAAGAGAGAAGTGAGAAGTACTCACTGTAGAGTGGAATTCTGGGGCAGTAATGAGTGAGCACCCATTGAAATTTGTGCTTATGTACAATGAAGCAGTTAGCAATGCTGTGTGTCTTTCTGCAGTCAGCCCAGTGGCACTGTTGTGTTTAACTGGGTTTTGCCAGACAAGTACTGTATATATAAGAAAAAAGGAATAAGGGAATGAAGGGGTGCTTGCTAGACAGGGATCAGAATGATGGATTGGGGATCAAAACTCAATAAAGAAGGAAGGAAACACTTGAGATGGGTGACAGATCAAAAAGCGAGGGTCTTTAAAAAGACTGAAAAATTGCTGGGGTATGTGCACTCAAGGAGCTGAGCAGAAGGCTAGAGCTGATGATGGTCAGAGAGAATGTTGTTAACAATGAGTGGCTCAGGTGAGAGAGGTCAAAAATCCACAGAAAGAGAAGGGATAAAGAAGCCCAAGACATTGGATAGAGGTCAAGATGTTATATTACCACATTGTATGATAAGACTTATAAAAATTGTTCATAAATTTTTATAATTGATAAATTTATTAACTGATTTGAATAAATATACCATTCATCAGCATAAGTACTTTAAATTAAAAGGTGAGCCCTGGCCGGTTTGGCTCAGCTGTTAGAGCGTCAGCCTGCGGTCCACAGAGACCCGGGTTCGGTTCCCGCTAAGGGCATGTACCTTGGCTGCAGTTTGTCCCCGGCCCTGGTTGGGTCGTGTGGGTGGCGGCCACTAGATGTGTCCCTTTCACATCGATGTTTCTCTCTCTTCCTCTCTCTCCTTCCCGCTCTGAGTGAAAAATGGAAAAATGTCCTCGGGTGAGGATTAAAAATAAATAAATAAATAAATTAATTAATTAATTAATTAATTAAAAGGTGATTTTTGAAGGTACATTTACAGGACCTCAAATAACTAAGTTTTATCTAAACATCTAAGTTTTTGTTGGGTGAAAATACAAAGCATTTTTTTCCCCATGTGAAACTTCTCTGTATTTGGATATCGTTTTGTTTTTGTTTTTCTCCTTCTGTGAGGTGTTTTTGTTTGTTTTTTTGGCAACTAGTCCATTGACAAAAAAAAATAATTTTTTTTTAAACTGACCTATTTTTTTCCCCTCTAAAATTCTTCATCATAACTTGTTTCTTCTGGGCTGGACTTTGCCCCCTTGTACTTTCCTCATAACTTTTCACTTAAAAAAAAATAACTTTTTCCCTGCCTGGTGTGGCTCAGTGGTTGGAGTGTCATTCCATGCACTGAAGGGTTTCATGTTTGATTCCTGGTCAGGGCATATGCTGGGGTTGCAGGCTCAATCCCTGGTTGGGGTGCATGCAGGAGGCAACCAATCAATGTTTCTCTCTTACCTTGATGTTTCTCTCTCTCTCCATCTCCTTTCCTCTCTCTTTAGAATCAATGGGGGGTAGGGGGGGAGGGACATGTCCTGGGGTGACAATAAAGAAAAACAAAAAATTTTATTCCCATACTTACTTTTCTTTTTGAGATGTTTAATTTCTTTCTTCCTGTTATAACCTTCACAGTTGCTCAGCTTTCTTTCGTTAGGAGAATAAATGGGAGGTTTCTCAATGCATTCTGAGAGTGAAGTCTCTAGACCTAGGTTGGGCCTTGCAGCACAGAGAATCTTGCACATCATTTTCTAATGAAAACACATTCACATTATGGGGCCAAGCCTCAGGTACAGGTCCAATTTGTCAAAGGTGGTTTTGAAATATTATGGAAATTGCTTTGCTCCTCCCATCTCCTAGTCCCTCTTCATTAACTCAAAAATAATTAATGGGGAGCCTTTTCTGGCTACTCAGTGTTCTAATTCACATTAATGAGCAATGACTGATCAGCTTAAGTCTCTCAGGGGCATTCGCATTTTTTAAATGTGCGTATTAATATAACTAAATCTCCAATTCATGCAATAAATGAGACAAATCATTAACACTCTAAGATTTTCTGTGAGAAAGTGGGCTAGGGCAACATCAAACTGGAAAAGAGAATTTGTGTGCATGCACCTGTGAATATGTGTGTGACCCTGACCGCTTCATTCATAAGTTCTCTGCAGCTTAGGATCTCTGTCTCTTCACTGCTTTCAAATCAGGAACCAGAGATACGTATGGATTTTGGTTAAACCAATTCTTAAATTGTAAACTCTTGATCTCAGGAGCTTATTCCCTAATTTTCCGTTGAAAATGTTTCAGCTACCCAACTTTATAAAGTTTTCAGAACAGTCATAGTGGTTCCTGGCTCCTGGTTCCTCCTTCATAGAGTCATAGCGGTCCCTGGTGCCTGTTTCCTCCTTCATAGAGTCATAGCGGTCCCTGGTGCCTGGTTCTTCCTTCATAGAGTCATAGTGGTCCGTGGAGCCTGGTTCTTTCTTCATTCTGGTTGTCAGCTGCTGGAGTGTCCGGTACAGAGTGAGTAGGGAGCCAGAGATGACAGACACCAGAAACTGAGGTTTCTGTTTCTCTTTGTGGCCTGGGCTAACTGAGTTAAAGCCCATCCTCCAATCACCATGCAAATCATGAGAAAAAGGGCTGGCTGGGTGACAGTACTTTGTAGTGGTTAGTATAGTGAGCTTGAGGGTCAAACAGGTTAGAGTACACCTCCCAACCGGATTCCTAGTAGCTCTGTGACCCTGGACAAGTCACTTATGCCTCAGGTGATACAGCTTCTATATATATAGCAATAGATTATTCTTACCAAAGTGTGGCTGATGAGAGCAGCCTTTTTCTGCGTCACCCATCCCCATCAGAGGATCTGTGTTTGATGCAGCCTTTCTGCCCAGGTGGTGCTCTTTCAGGTCCAGGAGTTTCCCTTTGAGGGAAGGGAGGCAGCGATGGAACTGGAATTGAGGGGCTCTTTTCCCTTCGTATCTGCTGGCGGCATGACCTCCTGGAGCCCGCTCTGTGCCCACACCCACGTCTCCCTGCTGCCTCCGTGGGTGATAGCTGCAGCGTCAGGGGCCAGCAAGAAGAAAGCTGTTTCCCCTCCAGGAGTCAGGGCGAGAGCCTGGCCCTGTGGGGCGTGTTGGAGTCTAATTTACACCACTTGCTCTTTTACCATCTCAGCCAAGTCTCGAATCTCTAGCCCAGTACCTTTTATCGGCCTTTTGTGAACAGCTCGGTATACTACAGAAGGAGCAGCAAGTTTCTGAAATGAGTATCTAGATACACGCCGAGCTTCTTCCTGCGGTGGCTGTTTACGAGCGGGAAGTCAGCGGGGCCCCCAAGAGGTCGCTGGTGGCGCAGGAACCGAGGCCAGATTGTAGAGAAAGGGGAAAGGAAAAAAAACACCCAGAAACTTTCTTCCTTGTTGCGAATAATTGCCGCGTCCCCCGCCCCTCCCCAGGCAGAGGCGGTAACGTGACACCGGAGAGAAACCCGGAGACCCGAGCCGAGAGGGAGGGACGAGGGAGGAGAGAGGGCTGCGGAGGGCCGGAGGGAGAAAGGGGAGGAGAAGGAGGAAAACCCCTGTCAAGGAGGTGGAGCGAGGGGCTGGTGTCCGCCTCCTGTTCCTCCCTGCCGTTTTCTAGAGGAGCCTGAACCGGGACAAAACACGCCGAGACCGACAGACACAAAGCCGGGGGGTCCACGCTGGCGCTGGAGGCGAGCCCCGGCGGCCGCGAGCGAGCCCGAGGCGCGGCGGGGCGCGGGGCGCGGGGGCGCTAGCGGGCCGGGCGCGGGCAGCGCCCCCGAGCCGGGGCCGGGCACCTCGGCCGCTCGGGCCGCGGCGGCGGGGACCATGCCGAGGAAAGTCTCCTGAGCCCGGCAACTTCGGCCCCTCCCCGCCCCCACCCGGGCTGCCCTCCGCGCGGCCCTGCCCATGTGCAGCCGGCCGGCCGGGCTCTCCTCCTCGCAGGCGGATGGGTGACCTTTTCCTGGCACGGGCAGACTGTGCGAGGCGGCGGAGCAGGCGATGAAGAAGAAGCAGCAGCATCCCGGCGGCGGCGCGGATCCCTGGCCCCATGGGGCCCCTCTGGGGGGCGCCCCTCTTGGCCTGGGCAACTGGAAGCGCCGGGTCTCCCTGCTGCCTTTCCTGCGCTTCTCCCTCCGGGACTACGGTTTCTGCATGGCCACCCTGCTGGTCTTCTGCCTGGGCTCCCTCTTTTATCAACTCAGCGGGGGACCCCCTCGCTTCCTGCTCGACCTGCGGCAGTATTTGGGTAAGGAACGGAGGCAGGCACGAGGGTGGCGCCGGCCGCGCGAAGTTGTGCCCCGGGGGACAGGGGACGCACCGGGGACTTTGGGTGCTGCTCCGCCCGCCGTCGCGAGGCTCCCCAGGTGGGATGCCCGGGAGCGTCGGCGCAACGGCCCGGGGCGTCTGCTCCCTCCGGCGCCGCAGTCTTTCTGGGTTGACGGGCCGGGCAGGTACCCCAGGGCAGGGCACCGCAGACCTCCCCCGCCTCTGCCACCACATCTGGGGCGGGGTGCAGGCGTGTGTTTGTGGGTGTGTACGAGTGGGTGTACATTCAGTCCTGGCTGTACGGGGAGAGGCTTGGGGAATGGACAGCCCATCCCTGGCACTGTAGGGACCACACTCCTGCCCTGCTCAGCGCTCCAGGTGGTGCGGGTGGATTTAGCTCCTCTCTATGGTGGGTTTTACGAATTCCGCCCGCAAATTCTCCGGCCGCTGGTCTGGGTGACCCAGAGGCAGTTTTCAGGCTCTGCGCTTGTCCTTTGGCAGCCCCCGCTCACCCCGTGGCCTGCAGCGAGTGGGACGTGGGGAGCGGGCTATACTCCGTGGTCTGGGACTGTCCGAGGGAGCAGGTCAGCCAGGCCAGCAGTGTCGCCTGCTTTGACCCCACGATCCTCTGTGCTGTGTGTGTGTGTGTGTGTGTGTGTGTGTGTGTGTTTCAAGCCCGAACTTGGGGGGAGAAGGGTGTTGTACTTGGTTTATTAGGAGCGAGACTGCCTGTTTTTTAGCAGAGGTAAGGAGGTGGTGCCAAGAGAGAAAAGAGCGGCTCTAGAGAGAGGGCGTGACTCTCAGCACCATGTCCGGGCGCGGCAAAGCGAGCGGTGCCCGGGCCCAGCCCGTGCACACCCAGGTCCCGGGTGCGACGCTGGCTCCCGCGCTTTGGCGAAGGCAGGATGCAAATCTCTCGCAAGTCTGTGGCCAGAAGAGGGCTTTCGGGGATGAGGGGAGAGGCTGGTAGGGCTCCAGCTTCTTGCAGTCACGCAAGGTGATAAACCGAAGCCACCAGCAAACATTCGGCATCTGTGTGACACGAGCGGGTGCGCAAACGGCTGGAACCATAATGGGCCAAATGACTCCGGCAGGCTGCAGGCTGCCACATTTACCCACCAAAGTCACTTGGTTGCAGAAGCCACAAGACTGGATAGCACATCGTTTTTTTGCAAACAAACAAACAAAAAAACTGCAAAGTGACACGTGCTAGAGCTTTTTGAAATGTAAAAGCAGATAAAATAACGCTCTTTCCATGCATGAAGAGAAGCTCAGATTTTAAAAGTAACACTTATATGTCTGTAGAAAATTTAGGGAACTATGCTTTGTAAGATGCTTTAGGGACAATTAAAGGAAATATTGTCCAAGTAGATTTACAAAGTACAATCTTGAGCATTTGGGGTTTGTTTGTGTTTTTTTTAAGAGGATTTGGGGTAATATGCACTTTTATTAGGGAGTCCAATCTCTTCTTTCCCTGAGCTCTGTATTTTGGAGTCTCATGGCTCACAGGGTCTCAGACACCTGCCAGTGCCACAAAAGTAACTATTTTTTACCAACAATCACTCTTAACTGGTTTGGGGAATTAACTGCTTTGGAAGCTCAGGGGTTTTTCTTCGTAAAATCTGATAATGAATTCTTTGTACAAGTTCCCTTTAAGCAAATTATGGTGGCCGATGATGTAGGGATGGGAAAGGAAGACATCTGTGTTTAGTGCCCTCCAGAGCACTTATGGGCAGGGCACTCAAACTTCATAGGCTTCAGGTTTTCAGGTAAAATTAGGGGCTGGATAGATTGTCTCACATCTCCGCTCAGCCCCTAAAATGCTGTGGTTCTGATACCCTTCTTGGGGATGGACAAATCTGGGGGGAGAAAGGAACAAAGTCACCACTGGGGCTAAAATCAAGAAACCTCCATATCTATCATGTAACCTTTTGAAAATTCAAGTCCCTGTGATATCCAGAATGTAGTGCTTTCATTATATATTTTAAAAAAATGAGTCCTGGCCAATTTGGGCTCAGTTGGTAGAAGGGTAAATTCACAGCATTCACTCAGGGAAGAAGGAAGAACTGAAGGATTGAACATTGCTCTAGTTACCGACTGGTCATTAAATTTCTGACTAACGTATGGGTTTAAAAAAATGACATCATTGTCAACTGAAAATAGGATGTCTTTGGCCACATTTGGTCCTTGTTGTTAATGGTTTTCGGGAAAAGTGGACTTGTGCTCTTTAAGAGGATCTGAAAGATATCCTTAATGATATAAGGCCAACGTATCTGCAGAATTAGTTTTCCCTTGTTTCCTCCATTCTACTGTTTTAGTGTCTGTCAAAAATTTGTGGTTAGTAAACACATCTCAATTTCCCCAGTTAGCCAATTTTGGAGGCAGGTATTTTTCTTAAATATAAATTCATGTAAAGAAAAATTTTTCCAAATCAAAATAATATTTATAACAAACATTTTTCTTGACAGGATATTATTTTAATATACTTGTGTAATATTATCCACCTGACACACAGTAGCTACTCAGCAACTATTTGTTGAAATAATGACTGAACCTATTGTATCAAATAGATAATGTATTTAACATATTGAATATTCTCATAGGAAAGCCAAGAGATATGGCTATTTGTGAGTGAAGTTATAATTATTGTGTATGTCAGTCCATGCATGTGCAGGATGAAATTGTCCCAGCACAGTAATATCATAGGTAGGTACGACTGTCATTCCCATTTTTTATATGGGACAAATAAAGGCAAAGAGGTTCACTGACTTGCTGAAGAACTCACAGCAGATAAGACAGGACCTCAACGCAAATCTGTCTGATTCCGGTACTCACTGTATAGCACTACGAGCAGTTGAAGAGATAAAATGGAAATACAGCCAAAATACAAGTGGGAATGTAAAGAGCTGACTAGCAAAAATGGTCTTATTTATTTGCATAAATTCACTTTCCTTTTCTTGATATTTTGACTAAGTATCTTGAGGGGCCAGCAGAAGAGAAATAATTCAGGCAGCTGGTCTACTCAAACTTCACCTTCCCGTATTCTCCGCAGTGCTGCCTCCATGTACTAGTGATGTGAACTGGAATCATAAATTCTTGATCTTTCTCTCTTGCTTTAGCAATTGTTCTTTGTCTAGGCTCATGGTTCTCAGTGTGTGGTGCCTGGGCCTCCAGCATCAGCATCACCTGAGAGCTTGTTACAAATGCACATTCTCAGGTCTCATCCCAGACCTACAGAATGAGAGTCTGGGTGTGGGACCTAGCAATCCGTGTCTTAGCAAAATTTCCAGGTGATTCTGATTCTGGCTCAAGTTGAAGTGAGAACCATTGTTCTAGAGTCAAGTATTGCTTTCAAGAAGCTTCCTGTGCATTTGAGAGAAGAGACATGAGAAAGAGAGAAGAGATTTATAAATTATTTTAAAGGTGATGTACATGGTTTTGATTTTTTAAATTTCAACTTTAAAAAGTGCATCTGCTTTGCTGCTTAAGCCCCATTGTTTGAAGGAAAGGACTGGCCAACAGCTGCAGCCCCAGCTGGCTTTTAGACATTCTGAAGTTGGGGTGAAGCGGGCAACCAGAAAGTGCAGCATGAGGAAGGGAGGGAGGGGTGGCAATGATGATGCTTTCTCTCCCTACAGGAGCCAGGGTCAGACTTCCTTCTTTCCAGTCAGTTTGGGGAAAGGCAAAGTGTTTTCTCCTTAAAGATACATTCTGCTGCAACAGATTGAAAAAATGGAAAGTAAGTTAGGGGAGGAAAATCATGCAGGAATAATTGTTGTCCTTTTTTCCTCCTCGAAATGGGTGAAGAACACAATCACTGGGGTAAATAGATGAATATAGCAAATTGCTATACTTGAACTTGGAGACCATAGTCTTTTCAATTCAGTGAAATTCTTTCTTTCTTTCTTTTTTTTTTAAAGCAGCATTCAGATTCTGATTTGCTATGGAAAACAAACAAAATATAAAATCTCCCCCAGAAATTAGGTTATGCTATAGCCTCTGCCAGTAGCCTCATTACTTTTGAGCTGTGGAAATATCAAAAACTTGGAATAACACTCGTTATATTGATGTCAACTGAATAAGCCAGATGGCTTACTACTGCTCTTATACAACCAGCAAACTCTAATGATTTACCAGCAAGCATTGGATATGTGATTTAGCCTTTATGAGAACTAAATTTGTTGGATTGATCTCAAGTTCATATGCTCTCCTTTCCATTTTTAATTTATGCTACTTGAAATGGAAACATACTACTTTAATTTTCAGAATTGGTAACATTTTTTTAATATAAATGAACATGACAAATTTGAGTCAAAAAATGAGAGAGAAAAAGATGTAACTATCAAATCTAAAATTTTCTAAGTTTAAATGAATTTAAGGGGAAATATGAAAATAGACATCCAGATCTTAGAACATAGTTTCCCTAAACCTTAAAAGCCAAATTTGATTTTTCTTCTGCACATCACGTATGGTTTAAACATAGTACTCCAGGCCCCAGACAGCAATCTAAGAAATGAATGCATAAAATATGATGTTATCAATAGAAATTGTTGACATAAAAAGAAAATGACATTCTTGTTCATAGCTGCAAATTTATCTTTTAGGGTTGGATGGGGACACAGTAGCACTGTATTAGAGGAAGAACAGAAAATGGCATGCGACTGTGGCAGTCTGTTCTATAAACACACAGAATGAATGGTGAAAAGCATTCTGCCTTGTAAACTATTTTTAATGTAGACTAGTCTCAGTATGAATTGTTTAAAAATACATATAAATATGTATTATCTGGATACTGTCTTTCTCTAAATTCCCTGTCATCAAGCCAGGTTTCAAACACTAGTTGGTTGTGTATTTGAGAGACCAGAATAAAAGTGGTCAAGTTTTTTGAGTCCCAGAGAAATAGTATCTTTTATTTCCTCAAAGGGAAGCTGCAGGAGCAGAAACATTAGCTTGCTCTGCAGCTATACTCAAGGGTACAGT